GTACCTGAATCCGACGGGATTTTTTAAAAAAATATTTAAATTTTTATTTGGCGGTTCATTGGGCAAGATTGCGTCCAAATCGGGATGATATTTACGTAGGATGAATATTAATTTTTTTTTTTTTTATTGTTATTGAACCTGCGTGCCTTATTTCGTGCCCATTTTTAAGAATTATTTAAAAAAAAAAAAAAAAAAAAAAAAACAACTTTCTAATGTGTAATCCCGTCAACCTCACTTGGTTATAAAGGGAAAAAAAAAGAATTCGAATTTAACAAGATGGCGGCGGGAATTGTTTTTTTTTTTTTTTCCATGCGCGCGTGTATAAAAAAATTTTTTTTTTTTTTTTCCAACGAACGAACGTTGGCGGACAGGTGCGATTCAATATCGTTAATTAACTTTCTAACCCGATAATAATAATAATAATGATAATAATTTTTTTTTCGTACGCGAGACGTTTTGTCGTCGTACCTTTGTTTTCCGCCGCCCCCTCCCTCGTCCACACTGTAGCCTTCATTCAGTTTTTCTTAATTCGGATTTTTTTTAATATTGTAACGGGGATTAATAAAATTTAATTCAATTTAAAAATTTAAATTAATTTTAAAAAATTCAATGTCGAATTTAAAAAAAAAAAAAAAAACGGAATAATAATTTGTCGATATTTGATAGTAGCGTGGGCGTCGCGTTTGGGTGTTTCGAGGTATGCACACGAGTTTGGCGGGGTAGGGGGAGGGGAAAGGGGGGCAAAGGGGGCAAGCACACACATTTTCACGAGTTTGATTTTTTTTTTTTTTTTTGTAAGAAAAACTCGCGGGTTAATAAAACCGCGATTTCACTTTCGAATATATTTTTCCTAAAACAAAAAAAAATTTGGAAATAAATAAGTCAAGGAAGGGCTCTTCTCTCTCATATTTTTTTTTAAACAAAAAAACAATGGGTGGCATTCAAAGGTACAGGGAGGGCAGTAAAGGGGGCAAACAAAAAGGAGGGAAAAACTTTTCTCTCTCTCTCTCTCTCTCTCTCTCTCTCTCTTTTTACGAAACAGAAATTGCATTTGTAATTATTGTATATATATATAAAATATTTTTAAGCTTTTTTTTTTTCTAAAATAATTTCGCGTGAATATTTTAATTATTATCATTATTATCATTATCATTATCATTATCATTATTTAAATAATAGGTATTTAAAAAAAAAAAAAAAAGAATGAAAAAAAAAAAATTCAAACGCCGTTTAGTGTAGTAGTGGAAATTTACCTTAAAGATATTTTTAAAAGACGTGATTGACATTTTTCTTCTCATTTTTTTTTTTTTTTTTTATTCGTTCGTGCCCCAAAGGTAAAAAGTTGAAAAAAATAATGATAATAATAATAATAATGATAATAAAAAACATGTTTTGAAAAAATAATAATAATAATAATGAGTGTTTTTTTTTTTTAATTTGTCGTAAATTTTTTTTTTTTTTTAATGTCGGAATCTCGTTTGCGGAGAGAGAGAGAGAGAGAATTGGATACCTCGATTGAAAATAAATTTTTAGAATGGAAAATAAAAGGGGGGTGAGGGGGGAATTCGGGGGGAGGTTAGGAGGAAGGGAGGGGGAAAGTGCATTAGAAAACCTTTAAAACAAAAAAAAGGTTAGGATTACACACATCGAAAAGGTTTTTTTTCTTTTTTTTATCGTTACCGTAATAACAGTAATAATAATAATAACTATTGTTTGCATGGTATGTTGTTTTTAATTACCGTTACCGTTTCTGTTGTGTTGTATTCAATTTGAAGTTGGTTGTTGTCGTGGCATTAGAATGTAAATGCGAAAACGAAGTGGAAATTTTAGCTTTGTCATTATGTGAATGCATTTATATATATATATGCATACAAACAAAGGCAGCGTTTCAAATTAAGGTCGTCGAGTAGTTTTTTTATTTTGTTTTGTTTTTATTTAAAATTGTATATATACATTTTCGATTTGATCTTATTCGACACAAAATGGCGGTTGCGACGACGACGACGACGACGACGAGAAATTAGACTGCAGACGTTTTTTTTACCAGCTACTCCTTTTACCGCTGCGTCGGTGGTACTATTTATTATCTTCGGTTAATAAATTACACATTGAGCGAAACGAGTATTTCGCGAGTCTAGCCTAATGGACGACGTTATTAGTTTCTCTCTCTCTCTCTCTGTTTCTCTTTCTCTCTCTTTCTCTCTCTCGCCTTCTTTTTTTCACCGGTGCACTTTTTTTTTTTTTTTTTTTTTTTTTCCCCTCCACGATTCATTACGATTGCAGAATGTAATTTAATATAACGGAAATGAAACTTTTGAAAACCGTTCAAGATTCGAAACTAGGTATAACAGATGGTAATGATGATGAGTAAGAAGGATAGAAAATAGAGAAAAAGAGAGAGAGAGAGAGAGAGAGAGAAAGAGAAAAAATTTTTTTTTTTTTTAAAATTAATTAATTTATTTATTAATGCGTGTGGATTAATTTAAAATTGGTTTCGTTTGAATTTTTTTTTGTGTAAGACTCGATTAAGGTTTTTTAAACGTTTAAAATGTCTTTTCTCCTATTCTTCTTCCTCTCTTCTCTCTCTCTCTCTCCGCCATTTTTTTTTTTTACTTTTCCCATTAGGTAAAACTAAAAAAAATTTTGACCAGCGGAAATGATTTTGACCTGGATTTCCTCGGGGCGATTCGGTAGTTGTTGTTGTTGTGTAGTAGTAGTAGTGTCTTGTGTGTTTTCTCTTTCTCTCTCTCTCTCTCTCTCTCTCTCTCTCTCTCTCTCTCTTTCTCTCTCTCTCTCTCTCTCTCTCTCTCTCTCTCTTTCTCTCTCTCTCTCTCTCTCTTCCTCTCTCTCTTTTTCGGCCTTTACATTGTGAGAATATGTCGCGTTCTCATGTTGATGATTTTCGATCATTTCGATCATCGATGAAATTTCGATGACGATGGCAATCGCGTCGGTACGATTTGAGTTTAAAATTCCTCGAGGTGAAGGTCGGTCCATGATATTTGTCAATCGTACCTGATAATTACTGGTACATATTATAACGGAATCGTATTTTTTTTTTTTGGGAGTATTTTGCTGTAGAGAAAATATATCCCCTTCCGGGCAGGCGGTGGTGGTGTTTCCCCCTCCCCTCCCCTCGTTTCCCCCGTTAGATTTGCAACATGTCTCATAATTGCAAGTGGAGGAAAAAAAAAATTATAATTTATTAT